GATTCTCTCTCTCTCTCCTTCTGCCCCTCCTGCTCATGCTCTTCTCTCTTGCTGTCTCTAAAATAAATAAGCAAATCTTTTAAAAATAAAATAAAATAAAATGTGGCTACCAGACTCAAAAACAGAGAGTAAAGTGGATTACCAGGGAAGATATTGTTTAGAGGTCCAAACTTTCAGCTAGTCAGTAAATAAGTCCTTGAGATCTAGTGCACAATATACAGATAACAATATTGTATCATAATCATTAAACTTGCTAAGGGACTAACTAGATCTTAATTATTCCCACCACAAAAAAAAAAAAGAAATGATAATTATATGAGGTGATGGAAGTGCTAACTATTGCTACAATTGCAGTCACATCATAATATATAAATGTATCCAATTAACATACTGTACCCCTTAAATTTATACAAGGTTATATGTCAAATATATTTCAATAGAAAATAAAGAACAGTTTTAAGAATAAAATGTGGATACCAGAATATTTAAAATTACAATTGTAGTTTGCAGTATATTTCTATGGACAGCACCGCTGTTGAGATTTCCACCATGCTCAGAGCAGACCATTCATCTGGCAGATGGTTCGCAGAGTGTGGTCCCCTCTGACTCAAAGCATCAGCATTACTTGGGGGCTTGTTAGATATGCAATTGCTCGGCCCCTTTCCAGTCCTACAGAATCACAGAATCAGCATCTCTGGGTGGAGCTCTGCCATCTGTGTCCCAACAAGCCCTCCAGGTATTTTCATTCAGTAGCTGCCATGGTGAGCCACAGAGCTAGAAGCACAGTTGGCTAGTGTTTCTGGAAGTGGCAAAAATCGATCTTTACAGAGGATCAGGTTTACTAAATGGCTAGGCGATTTAAAATATTAGTTTTCACGTTTAAAATATTGAAAAATAGACATGAATATTGAAGCCAAGCCAAGCCGTCGTGCCCTGGAAGAGGGCTGCTTGGGGCAGGGGAGGGGAGAGGTAAATAAGTAGGCTGTCATTGGTTTAAAATGAGAGATTGAGGAATGTGGCCTTATAAGCTAAGATTTATTGAATTTGATTCTAAACACTGGTAGGGCATTATTACCAACTCCATTTTACAGGTAAGGAAACCAAGGCACGGTAAGGTTAATTAGCTGGATCAAGGCCACGTCCGCTGGGACCAGAGTGAATCTGACTATAGAGCCTGGGGTGTTAACCACTGTACTCACAGTCTTGCACAGAGTCCAGGCCGAATCTCAACTAATCTGTAAAGGGGGTTATTTCTATACTACCTCTTCCTATTAGAATCATCTGGGGACACTTCCACCTGCATTCCTGCCAGGCTCCACCTACTAGACATGTTCATTTCATTGGTCTGAAGTGGTTTCAGGGGTGTCTGAAGAGTTCCCTGGGGACCTCCGAAACACCTCCCATTTGACAGAGGATGAAGATGAAGCTGGAAGACACAGAGTGGGATGAGTTAGCAGTGGTAAACTCAGACTCTATAAATTGGGCCAGGGCTTCTCCAACTGCAAGGTGCACAAGTCCCCTAGGTGACCTTTTCAAATGCAGGTTCTGATGCAGTGGGATGGGTGGGGCCTGAGCTTCTGTAGTACCCAGTGAGGGTGATACTACCGGTCCACAGACCACATTTAGCGTTTGGACAGTGCACTACCTGGATGCCCTGACCCCTGGGGCACTTTCCTGGCCAGAAATTGGCCTTAGGAGTGCCCACTTTCCCAGCAGGTGGGGAGTAGGCCAGGACACTTAACCCAAGTATGCTCCCAGAATGGCGATTCCTTGTGATGGCAGGCCTGATGCCCTGAGTGCCAAACAAGGCCCAGTCAGCCTGGGATGAACACTTGGAGTACAGTCAGCGTTCCAGTTCCTGAGACCTGGCGGAAATTCTGGGAAGCTGAAAGGGAAAAACCCCCACAATTATGTCCCTGAAGCAGGAATCCCAGTGACCCCACACTTATGTTCAATTATCCTCCTCTCCCCTAAGCTGAGCCTCGAGTTCTCCCCGGGTTTCTTGCCCCCTCCCACTCCTTTCTCGGCTAGAGGGTAGGACAGCCCGGATGCAAGCCTCTCAATGTGTCCTTTCCTCTCTACAACACCCCCGCCGCTACCCTGACTCTCCACCCCGGTCCCGCCGTCTCCCTCCAAAGTTCCCAGTCCGAGGCGAGAAGCGGACTTCAGATGGACCCGGGATGAAGGTTTTCCTCTCCCCCCGCCCCCCTCCCCGTGGCTTGCACACCCCGGAAGAGTCCTTTCCGAGTCCCGTCCTCCCGCAGCTTCCCGCAGGAAAGGATGCCAACCGTGCGGTGCGGGCGGACGCCGAGGCCCCAGGAAGGAGGCGGCGCGGCGCCTGGAGCTCCGGAAAACCGCCACCGCACTCACAGTCACGCTGTCCTCGGGGACCGGGGACGCGGCGCCTGTGCCCAAAACAGAAAACGGAGGAAGGAATAACTTCGCGTTGGTTGGGGTGGGGCGGCATTCGAGCTTTTTCTGTAAGATCCGTGTATCGCATCCTCACTCCCCAACCCAAATCCAGCGGCCAGAACCTCCCACCCGGCTCACGGGGCCATCCGGCTGGGTCCCCACGCGCACCCCCTCCCCGCGGGCCCCGCCAGCCCAGGTTCCGGCCCATCAAGTCGGGAAATGAGACGATCCATCAGCCGGCCCTGAGTGCGGGCCCGAGGCGTCCCCCATCTGCGCGCCTCACAAAGTCACCGGGGAATAACCGCGCAGCAGCAAGCCCCGAGGCTCCCGACCTCCGGGTGACAGAGGTGGCGAACGTTGCTCTTGGTGGCTTTGGTGCTCTTGGCTCCAAGGCCCATTTGGCTTGGCTTGGGATTTCCGAGGCTGTGGGCGAGGTGGTGACTATAACCTCTATAGATCCGACTCTTTCTCCGACAACTGAAAGAAAGAAAGAAGAAGAAGAAGAAGAAAAAGGCCCGGGAGCATTAGAAACACAGAGAACGTCCCGTGGAGGACACAGATTTGGGCTGGGAGACCGCACTTGCGGGTGCCACCTGGGCTGCTGGGCCGGGGGAGACCTCTGACAGCCAGACCTGGGGTGGCAGGAGGCCTGGGGGATTTCACAGGCAGAGGAAAGCTGGGACACCGGCAAATTTGCTTTTGAATTAAAAAATAACCACGGAGTCGCATGGAGAAATATGTGAAGGTTAATGTTATTTTTAGTGTTATTACCCGGGATTTAATGTTATTTTTATTTTGAGGGGACTCTCAGGAGGGTCTCCACGGTGCTGTTCTGGATGGGGCCTCCCAGAGTTCTTAGCCGGCCTTGTCCACCTAAGAGGAGAGAGGAGGGGACTGGCCACCCTCTGGAGCCACCAGAGAGCCGGTCCCGCGTCCCACCGGAAGCCTGGACCTGCACCCCAGGGGGGCTCCGAGGAAGGGGCTGTCGGTGCAGCTAGGGGCGCAGGGGTAGCCTCTGGGCCCCAGACTTGCTGCTGAGAAGCAGGCCCCGGGTTTGTCCCTGGGGACCCCCATCAAAGTAGAAGCCTGGGCTTTTCTTCCAGTTGCAACCCGGGGTGGGGAATGCCCTCTGCTCCTCCCCCTTTCCCAAGTTGATTGATTTTTCTTTTCTTTTCTTTTCTTTTCTTTTTTTCTTTTTTTTTTTTTTGAAGCTGAACAATACCCTAACCTCACAACCTTGGGCCCCGTGAGTCAGTTCACAGTTTACCGACTCACCTTCGCCTTTCCGGTCTGGAACCTGTCAGTTCCAGGGCGGCCGCCAGCCCCGCCCGCAGAGGCCGCTTCCCCCCACGGTGCGCGCCCCTCCGCTGCCTGCGCCCTTGGAGCCTTGTCTGCAGTCTCAGCTTCGATAGCCTCTCAGAATCTGTTCTCCGTCTGGGAACCCTCGCGCGGGTCCCAGAATTGTCCAAGGACCGAGCTGCGGGGTGATACCCCGTGCACCCCTGGCCCTGGAGCGCGCATCCTCCCAACTTCTGTTCTGGAAGCCAGACGTCTGGGGCACTTCGGGGCCTTTCCCTCCAGTGTGGATACGGCGCTGGCGGTTTAGTAAGGAAGAAAAGAAGAGAAGCGATGCCTCCGTAACCTGGTCTCCTCTCTCCCCCAAGTTCAGCATCCTACTCCCTCCTCCCCCACCAAGTCTCCCGGCTTTTCTCGGGATGGGGGAGGGACCCGAGAGGTTCGAGGATCGGGGAGCGCCGGGGTCTCACCGCCCACCCACCCCTCTCCAACTCTGGGTTTGCCAAGACTTCCTGCGGCGTAAGAGCTCCGAAGAAGGTCGTGGAGGAGCTAGGGACTCGCTCCCTGCTAGGCACTTTCTTCCTCCTTTTTCGAGTCCTAACTATACTCTGGACGCCCAAACACAAAAGACCCCGCAGGTACTGTCGCCGTGGCCGAACTTGCTCAACCCCAGCACTCCTGTAATTGATCCCCCTTTCCCCGCTTTAGAGCTGGTGTGGACCTCACCTTTGCAACTGGGCAGGGGGTTTCTGTCCCCTGTCTACACCAGGGGCGGCTGCGCCAATGTGTCAGGCGCCAATGTCTTTCTCAGGTTGAGGTCGTTGCGAGCTCTGGGTGCAGGCAGCTAGGCGCCCGGCCGCAGCGTGCATCTCCCTTCGCTCCGCCAGAAGCTCCCAAGTCTGGAGTCCGCAGCCCCGGCGCCCGGCGAAGCTCCAAGCCCTGCGCCACCGGCCCACCTGTGTCGATACCACCCAAAGGTAATGCCACAGGCCACAGTCCATGCGTCCTGACCAGCGCACACTTATCCCACGTCGAGACAGTACACTTTAATAATGGAATTCGCAGCATGTTTTTCCCTAAAGGAATTGCGCAGATCACCTCCCAACTAAGGTCACTCATAGAAGCATTGTGTTTAGTACTGGAAGGATCCTTTAGGAAAGGCATTTAGATGGTGAGAGTGGTGAAGTTACTGCACGTCTTCCTCTTTCCCTTTCTTGGTTCCCCGGAGCTTCTTTTCGCTGTTATCACAAAAACCGCCACAGACACATTCCAACCTTACAACATCAGAACACTGGCGGGCATTCCAGAACTCTAGCACTGCTCCAGCAAAACTCCCCTGAAAGCACAACAGACTGGCCACCCCACTCTCAACCTCCCCTCCCAAAGGCAATTAATATAAATTGTCCTTAGTCCCAACACATCTTCAAGTGAATAAGCAGATAAGGTCAAATAGGCAATTAAAAGAGTAGTTAACGGGGGCCAGGAACCCATGTAACACATCATAAAAGAGATTTTAAGGAATGCATTATTAATTTCAGGTAGCAAACTATTTTAAATGAGCCACAGCTTGCCTAACCTTAGGCCCAATGAGGTAGTTGTTATTTCCTGGAGAGAAAAACTTCTTAAAGAATTTTTTAAAATTCTCAATTGACTCTTGTCTTCTGAAGAAAAGTTCCCTGCTCCCAAGTTAAGATTTTCCTCACTGCTAGGAAAGCAGATAGGACTGTATTCTAAGGCCCAAAAGCTTATAGGTTGGAGCTTAGTGGTAACTAACTTAAAACAGGTTTAAAAATAGTTAAATAATGACTGCCTCATTTGCTACTGAGCTTTTCAGGAATGATTACCGGGCCTTTCCATCTGCTTACTTGAAGTTTGTTTTATGGACTTTGTCCACCACATTCTCTCCTATGTGAAGGCATTTATTCTAAATGAACCCATAAAAGGACATTTCCTAAGGACTTACTTGGCCAATGAAAGGGCCATTATTCTGGTGCCTTGTCTCCTCCACTGGTTACCCTCATTGCAGAAACAGCTCTTGCTTCATTAAAGTAGGTGCAGTTGAGACCAATGAGATGAAAGAATGAGGAAAATTTTAGCAAGGTCATGCAAGCTGAGTGCATCAGAGGCCCAAACTTAATTTTCTGATTCTTTCTAAATATTCTAGGGTATGGAAACTTATGAACAAAATATTCTTGTGTACGCTTATTTTTCAGTTCCTATCCCCAAAGGGTTTCTATCCTAGAAAGGGTTTCAACAGTATTCAAAGGCAGTAAATAAATTAAATGAAGTAAGTGGTCAGTGATAAGCTGAACACAAGAAACAGTGTGGGTAAGTACTAATTCTGGCTTAACCTCTCTGTGTACCTTGTCTATTTTAGTTAAATTATTCCTGCTTCTGTTATCCATGTGCGTTCCCACTGTGTATGTGCATGTGCGCATGTGCGCATGTGCGCGCATGTGTGTGTGTGTGTGTGTGTGTGTGTGTGTGTGTGGTGTATGTTTTGGAAGGGTTGGGGGACAACAGAGCCAGAGTACATTTTTACATTTCTCTGTGAGGTGGACTGAAACATCAACAAGCCAAATTTCAGCTGTAACAAGCCTAGCTTTCTCTTTTGAAGCTTATAAATATGGTTTCTAATTAGCATTTTTCCTGATTTTTGTAATTTTGTTACTTGATCTACAGATACAAATCAATTGTTTGTGTGGCCAAGTATAAGAGATACACCTAACAATTTGTATATTTAATTTTATTTAGGATAAGGTTTGCATATGCCATTTTTTCCATACACCATATGTAGGGCATATTATAAAATAAAGAAGCTAAATAGGGGCTATGTAGTCTATAAACTATCACAGAGTTTTGGACCTAATTTCTTTTTCATCAAAAAATTGATAAACATGGAAGGATGAAGAGTTACATCTTGGTACTGGCTTTCTTATTTAAAATATATTTCTTCCATTGGCATTGCCCTTCCTTGGCTGTCTCCACAGATCAATCTGCCCATGTTTTTCAATATCCACCTTCTCCAAGAGGCCTCCTTTGATCAGTTGAGATGGCTGTCTTACCTTATCTTTCCCTAAACATCTATGCCCACCTTGTGCCAGTCAACCCTACATCTTCATATGTCTTCCTATTTTCTCCCACCCAAACTGAAAGTCTATACACACAGGGGCCTTTTCTTCCACTTCTATGAAATAGTAACCACCCAATGGCATGAGATTCATTAAGGCTAATTCAATAAGGAAATACATGAATCAAAAAGAATCCTTTGAAGGACATAGAGAATCTAAAGAAGATTCCAAAGGCAAATGCTTGGATCACACTTACTCCTGACATTTTGTTCTGACCACCAGCAGCAATGATGGAAATGACACAACCATTATCCACACAAGTGTACCTGTTTATATCAGTTTCTCCTAGCTCTTCTCCCATTCAATAAATGAAGAATGGAGCAAATTTTGGAAAACATTGTTACTATCTTAAAATATTATTTAATGGTAAGTTTTACTCCTTTATCACTTCTTTGCTGATATCAAAGAAGTGAAGTTTTTTTAAAGGATGATTAGAGGGACACATGCATGGTGCAGTTGGTTGAGCATCCAACTCTTGGTTTCGGCTCAGGTAGTGATCTTACAAGCGGGGGATCAAGCCCTGCCTTGGGCTCTGCACTCAGCATGGAGTCTGCTTGAGATTCTCTCTCCCTCACCCTCTGCCCCTCTTTCTCTCTCTCTCTCTCTGAAATAAATAAAGAAATCTTTAAAAAAGGATGATTAGAAAGTTATTTAATTAATATAGATGAAAGTTGTAGGGAAAATGATCCAATTCTTCTTGTAACATAAGAATCACTGGAGATAGCTTAATAAGTTAAGGGGTCTTTGTAAACTACCTTTAAAATTAAACACCTAAAAGGAGATTTAATTGCATTTTGAGGATGATCTTCCCAGGAAGAAAGGGTTAAAACTGCCTCTTTTTATTTTAACTCTCTGGTGTCAACAAAGAGATCATTTATGTCAGGTATGAAGAGAAACCATTTCAAAGGAACCACCATTTGATTTAAAATGAAATCAATAATCAACTACAACAACTTAAGATTAATGACCCATGCTACTTCCCATCTATATTTTCTTATTAAAGCAGATAATCATCAATTAATTCAGTTGATCTTTCAATAACCTATAAATGAGGATATCTGCAATAATGTATCACAAAAGAAATTGTCATAATCTTTTACAGTTACCTCTTTCACTTGGATAATGGTATTTGTTTATCTTTGGGTTCCCAGACCATGTAGCATAGTGCAAGTAGTAGGTATTCAGTTAATGTTTATGACTAAATTAATCTGTCATTTGTTTTGAATGATATTATACTGATTGGCTCACTTGGCCTAACCAGCCATCACCTGAGATATTATTCCAGTTTTTTAGTTGAAGAGAATGATAATCTGTACAAGGTCATAAAAGAAATAAATAGTGAATCATAGACTAAAATCTCTCTATTTCTTTCCTCATTAAAGTACTGGAGGAAAAGAGGGAAGGACAGAGAATATAAATGCTTCATTACATATATCTCATTGGTTTTTTTTTAAGATTTTATTTATTTATTTGACAGAGAGAGAGAGAGAGACAGCAAGAGAGGGAACACAAGCAGGGGAAGTGGGAGAGGGAGAAGCAGGCTTCCCGCTGAGCAGGGAGCCTGATTCCGGGCTCCATCCCAGGACCCTGGGATCATGACCTGAGCCGAAGGCAGCCGCTCAACCAACTGAGCCACCCAGGCACCCCTGTCTCATTGATTTTAAAATTTTTACAGTACTGCAGGAAAATGTGTAATAGCAAGTGCTAACATGAAGAATTGTAAGGCATGTAAATTTTGCAAATTCCAATCATAACCAATAATAATTGACTTTCATCAACCACAATTTGGCCTCAATTCTTCTGTATATAAACATTTATGCAAAACTCTTGAGAATGCTTGAGTGAAATAAAAAATAACAGAGATAAAAATAAGATATAAAATATAGTATCAATTTAAGTTGTTACTTCATAAAATGAATTGCTATTGATCTAATTAGAGATTTGAGGTTTCAGCTTGTTATTTGGCCATTGAATAAAGATTTTATGAAAATGAAAACATGGTATATTTTGAAGTCAAAGTATTATATAAGGAAAAATGAAGATGATCCCTATGAAGTTAAAGCATGTGATTTTTCTATTTTAATTCTAACTGACCATGTGACATTTGGGAAGGTCATTTAATTTCTCTGAGCCTCAGTTTTGGGAATGCACAACCACAATAAGGCATATCTTCCCTTGCCTACCTTCTAAGGTGGTAGGGAGGATCACATTTGGCAATGCCTGTGAAAGTACTTTGCAATCTCCCCCTTAATATGACATCGTTTATTTTATGACATTGTATTACTGATTATTCACAGAATCAAATATCCTGTGAGACACAAAATATTTGGACATCAATACAATTGATGAGGACAGCATGCTTAATTGCTGAAAAAGCTGCATTCTGACTCACAAAGCAAAAAATTTTAAAAAGGGAGATACTGTTTTATGTAAATATAGGAATTAGCCCAGTAGTATTTGTTTCTTCGTCCCACTAGAGGCTGTAGAGTAATATCTGCATGTGTGTATGTTTACATAACTATGTAACATTACTGTCCTAAGAGACCCTAGAATAACTCTCACAAACTTCGGGTTCACTTACATTCCTCTTGGCAGAAAAGTCGCAGTATATTGAGGGTAGGTGACCCCAGAGTCTAGAGCCCTCATGCAATCAAAGAGAACTAACAGAAAATAAGCCAGAATACTGCACTGACTGACAGCCCCATTTAGGGAGGCGTCAATTTAACTTTAAACCCATTAGCTCATTGAGAGCAAGGGAGAGAAAGGGATGTCTCCAAACGCAGGAAACTGTTGCCATAGCATTTTCCTTCTCTATTTCTGC